GAGTCTGGACTGCCATCTGTCAGAAATGGTGTAGGGCAGGGGTCCCCAACCCCCGGTCCGTGGTCCAGTACCGGGCCACGGCATGCCAGCAACCGGGCCACACAAACAAGCAAAGCCCCATCCGCAGGATGCAGGCAGCCCACAAAACCACACACCCTCCGGTCCGCGGAAAAAGCTCTCTCCACATAACTGGTCCTGGTGCCCAAAAGGTTGGGGACCTCTGGTGTAGGGTCTCCTGCTTGGCAGGGGGTTGGATTAGATGACCTACAAGGTCCCTTCCAACTCTTTCATTTTATTCTGTTCTAAGCAAGGTGTGAGAGGAACTGCTCTTTCCTCTTCTGTAGCACTCAGGATTCATTGTTGTGTCTATTCATGGATAGTCCATTTTGACCGGCAACTAATATCCACTGGCAGCCTTATGCTCCATAGCCCTACTTAAGCATCCTAAATCCTACATCAGTTGCAGAGATCAAAGATGAAAAGTTTGGCCCTTCGTCCACGCCTTTGCCACCCTCCGTTGGTTGAATCCCAACTGTCAGCATCAGTAAACCCTTTTCTTCTTATCAAGAGCGATGAGGATATCAACAAAGCCTGAACGCAGTTTCCTACTCTCCCGGCTAAGATTATCACATGCGGGTGAATTGGTCCCATCTGTTTCTAAAGCCATCTCTAACACCTTGTCATCTCCTCGGGCTGAATCCACAGCTGGACTAAGCCCATCTTAAGAGCGGCCAGAATGGCAAATAAAAAGGGTATGCAAGCTCTTGAGGGCTTCAAGAGAATTCATGATGTGGCAGAAATTAAGGGATGGGGATGTTGGAAAAAAAATCCTGGATCTGCATCTACCTGGGTTTTCCACAGAACACATGGAACATAGAATAATAGAGTTGGAAGGGACCTTGGAGGTCTTCTAGTCCAACCCCCTGCTCAAGCAGGAGACCCTATACCATTTCAGATGAATGATCGTCCCGTCTCTTCATAAAAGCCTCCAGTGATGGAGCACCCTCAACATCTGGGGGCAACTTCTGTTCCACTAGTTAATTGTTCTCACTCTCAGGAAGTTTTTCCTTAGTTATAGGTTGCTTCTCTCTTGGCTTCCATCATTGTTTCTCATCCTGCCTTGTGGTGCTTTGGAAAATACACTTTGAACCCCCTCATCTTTGTAGGAGCTCCTCAGATATTGGAAGACTGCTATCTTTGAGTTCTTCTACGCTCTGACTGGTGTCAGCTTTCACGGTGTCCAGCCACCGTGATCTTTGGCAGCCTTTGGTTTCCTTTGACCGCTCTCTCTTCCGAACATCATTGCTTTCTCCAGTGAATTCCCCCGCGTGACGTGACTGAAATAAATGAGACACAGTTTTGTGATTTTGCCTTCCAGTGACGTGTCTGGTGTTATGCGCTCCCGCACTTGCTCGTTGGTCACCTTTGCTGTCCAAGGAATACGCAGGAGCCTTCTCCAGCACCTCAGCTCAAAGGGGTCAATTTTCTTCCCATCTTGCTTTTTTAAATACTTACTAATTATTTCATCGTTTTTCTTTTCTATTGCATAGAACAAAATGGAGAGTTACCACCTGTTTTGGAGCTCTGAAGGAACCCATCTGAGATGTATGGAAAAATGTTTATAACATTCAATTATAGGTCATCGGTTCTGCACGCAGAAACCTCCTTTAAAACATTTCTTTGTAAAGGATGGGGGGGGGAGAGAGGATGAGGGGGGCTACCCCCTTGAATTTCAGAGCTGGAGCCATTTTGGCCAAAGAGTAAAATGTTTCCCAGCGGGATGGCTCCTCAGCTGTTTCCATTTGTCCCCGGATCCTAGCTTGTCTAACTCAGCCTCAGCACAGCTGTTGGTAGATGGGGGGGGTGCAGACCAGGGCAGAGGGGGGGGGGAGCCTTCACGTAGGGTAAAAGCCAGAGCAATAAAGAAAACAATGCATGGAAATGGCACTAGGCCATCAAAGCTGAAGGACACGTGGAACATAGAACGTAGAATACGTAGGCCTCTCTCCTGCTCTTAAGAAGAAGCTAAAACTAAACAATTTGTCTCTCTCTGTGTGTGTATGTGTTGAAGGGGAGATAGCAAAAAAAAAAAGGGGTGGGGGGAGAAAACTTACATAATTTTTTTTAAAAAATGCACACATAGTATGCACATTTAGAATACAAAAAATTACAAATGATTGGTCAAAGCAGAGTTCCAAAGTTGGCAAAGACTTTATGTGTCCTTGCTTCATCTCCATATCCTTCTTAACTTGGCTGATGACTTGGCGAATTGCTTGGCAACCTTGCCAACACCTGTGATAAGTTTACCTTCATAAAGGAGAATATTTGCAGCTCAGGGTTGACATGAGGGGGTCCTTGGTGCTCTCTGGGCTTGCTTGTAGAACCCCTCATGAGTTTACATATTGGCCATCCGTTGCCTGGGAGTTGGCGGTTCTTGCCTCACTGCTATAAAAGTAAACTTTCCTTCCAGTCAAGATGAGTTCCTGATGACTTCCCAGACACAGTCATGTAGATTTCTTTGCAGCAAGACAAAAGACCTAGAAGAAGACCTCCAAGGTCCCTTCTAGCTCTATTGTAAGGTTTCCTGGTGGTCTTTCCTCGCAATGTTGCTGTCAGCCCTTCAAGGTAGGCCAGGTGGAAAAAACAGACTCCACAGGAAATACTGGAACTCTACTGTATTGATAGAGAATATAGGAACAGAATCTCGAAAGCCTAACAGCGTTTTCACCTTTCCTCCCCATTCTACCTTCCACAGTCCAGGGGAAGTCACACCTTAGGTTTCTTTCCAACGTCTTCTTCCTCTCTCAGGCTTCGGTCTTGTTTTGCTCACTGCCCTTGCATACCCTCTCCAAGGTCATCCCTGTGGTCCTCTGCAGCTAACTAGTTCAGATGCTACTCGGGTTTTGGAGATGTTTGTGTTTAGCGTGCACATTCCCTGGTCTCCTTGAAACAAAGTCCCAACAAGTCCTCTGAACAGCTGTAATGACCACAGGCATATTCACACCTCACCACCTCTTCTTCTTCTCCTCCAGAAATGGTCTCCACATAAAACACGTGGAAAGTTCTCAGAAGACTGCAGCTGCCCGGAGTGAAGAACAGGATTTCCCGAGTGGCTGGCAGCCTGTCTGGGAGATGGGAAAAGCAGACCTGAAGCGTGCCTTGGCTTCTTCGATCCCTCTGCCGAAAGGAAACTCGGAAACCTGACCTTCTCCTCGGGATGGCTTCGGAGCAGCCACTCCATCCCATCTTTCAAGGCCTAATTAGCCAGCCAGAGTGCTGGCGTCTCCCACCTGTCCCTCCAGCCATCCGTCAGCCGGCAGTCCGGAATGCTCCGCCTGGACTAAAGCAGCCTGAGAAGCTTCCTGAGCATCCCACGGCTCCCCCACGAGCCAAATGTCTGTGGAGATTCCCCGTCATCCAGGTCACGGTGGTCCCAAGGGGCTTCTTCAAAAGGCGACGGGACTTTCTTGGTTGTTCCTTGAAGACATTTTGAGACGTGGAACGTCTTCAAAGAAAAAGAAAGAAAGCCCAGTTGCCTTTTGGAAAAGCACCCTCGGGAGACCCATGTAGCCATTTCTGAAATTTATCTCCTTCCAGTTTAATTTCACTTTTGCCTGCCTGGCCTTCAGGAACAGCTCTGAACTTCTAGAAGGCCATCCTTCAGATTCTTAAGAGAGCTCTCATCTTTCACCGGGGTCTTCTTTTTCCAGGCTAAACATGTCCATCACCACCAAACATTCCTCCAAAGGTCTTCCTTCCAGAACCCTTAACATTCCTAGGTGAAGCTGAAGGTTTCAGGATCCTATCAGGGACCCGAGGTCTAGTCTTCCGAGCTTTCAGACGTGTGCTGGAGCCCATCCCCAGGGGACTTCTCTCTACCAGAATGTGTGCTTTGGGCTAGTCTTTGCGTAGTATTTAATGTGGTGCCTAGTTGGGTGTGGCTTAGATGTTTGTAAGTGGATGCCTCACTTGCTGTGAAGGATTCCCAAAGCTGAACTGCTCCAAGCGTTAGCCATCCATATCTCTCACAAATGAAGGCAAATATAGGTGTCTCAGGATGATGTTGCAGGATCCAATCTAGGTTGGAAAAGGTGATCACGTGATCCCAGGTTCTTGCAACTGTCCTAGGTACGTGCCAGTTGCCAAGCATCTGAATTTTGATCCTGTGGCCACGCAGATGCTGCCCCGGATCGTGCGAAAAACGGTCGTAAGTCGCGTTTTTTTCAATCATTTTGAATGGTTATTAAAGGAATGGTTGTAAGCTGGTTGTAAGGTGCTGGTGCTACCTCCACCGCTGCCCTGAGAGAATCCCAAAAGGAGGACTTCTCATTGGGATCCAGTAGTCTCCCAGTTCTGGATCAGGCAGGCTTCAGATCTGACCTCATAAGAAGAAAAATGTAACCCACCCCCACCCCCAAAAGCAACTGGTGCTGAAATATGCATTTTTAGCCTCGTCTCCGGAGCAGGCTGAACAAAACTGTGGCCTCACACAGCTGCCATCCTTCCATCCATCCCCACTTCAGTCCAACTTCCCCAGCCGGCTTGGGGAGAACCATGGCTGATTGGCACCTGGTTAGGCTGCACTCAGCTGTCCCTGATATTCGACACACAGACACTGGCGCGCACACACACATCTACACCCCTCCTTCCTGCCAAACCAAAAAACACACACATCGGCCCTGGGAAAGGGAAATAAACATGTGAGAGAAGGAGATGGGAGAGGGAAAAGGGAAAGAGAAGTCCTACAGCAAGAGCCAAAGGGGCCCTTAGGAAGTTGCCAGCCTCTTTGGTGGAGGGATCCCCTGCAGCCAGATCTTGATGCGGACCTGGTGGAGGAAAGCTGAGCTCTTGAAAAATGGTTGCGTGAAGAGGACCACCTCGCTGGGGATCTCAGAACTGAAAAAGAGCCTATCTAAACACGTCCTGAGAAAGTATTCTTTAGCTGGATCTTTTCTTCTTTTGTCAAGCTAGTTGCTCAAGATTACCGCCATATTATTTTTTCCTCCCTTTGAGCCTTTTCCATCAGTCCAACACAGGACTTTCTACCGGTCCTTCGCAACGTGCGGCACACACAGCAACCTTCTCCTGCTCCTCTACTCCAAACTGGAACGAGGGCTTCGTTTCTGCATCTTCGGGAATTATGTCCGCGTTGTTGGAAGCTTCGGATGGAAACGCAAAGGGGATACAACCAAAAACTCTCTCGGGAACATCCAGCATGGAAAGGAGCGGTAAGGCTTGGAATTTTGGAAAACTCAGGTTTGTTTGAGGATTTGCAAATAATTGACACGGGGAGGGACTATTTCTGAGGATCTTCAGATAGATAAACTATCATTTATTCATGGTAGGTCAAATCTGATTAAAGAGTCCATCACTTGCTTGAAAAGGGTCCCGTCTTCCATGGTGTAAGTCCAATGCATGACGCTGTCCCGGTGTTGCCTTGGGTCAAACAAGTTTAGCCCGTTCCTGGATCCCCTCATGCCTGGATCCCATCTTTCTGCAACTACAAAATTAACGTTGTCAAATGCAGATCAAAGGACAAATTCTTCCCTTCGCCCAGCAGAAGCTCAAATGTTTTTAGTTTTGGAGAATCAGAATCAGGCAGTGTTTTTATGGAGGAAAAGGAAGGCGAGTTCACAACAGTTTCAGAGTATATGAGGGAGCATTGTAGAGTTCCTCTTCAACACCAAAGGGATGAACGCATATTTATTTATTTATTTTATTTAACAGGATTTATATGCCGCCCTTCTCCCCATGGGACTCAGGGCGGCTCACAGCGTATTAAAACATCATACAAAAAAATTTCCCCTACTAAAAACCAATTAAAACCCAAATATTGGTAGCATACATATTAATTGCAAGATTTGAGCCGTTTTATCAGATCTCATAATTCCTACTTCCTTAGTGTCTGCAAAATTTCTAGGATGTTGTTTATTTCAGCTCAGCCCAAAACTGCCTGCTGTTCTTGAGCCCCGTTTTGATAATATTAAGGATTCAGCAGAAGACAAGTAATACATGTTATGCCATTTGGAGGAATGGGAAAAATTGCGTTATATTTACCTTCCGTGCATAATAGGTTCATTTTGCTATGTTTTGTTATTTTGTTGTTTGTTTAAAAAATATAGAACAACCAACAATTCTGCCTTGGTCTCTTTGGTGATGTCCCTCTATTTCTGCCACGCTCTCTGCTAATGAAAAGAACTTTAAAAAATGCAATTCCAGTTGCCAGCATATTGAATCTCCTTGATACGTGTGTTTAAAGAAGCTTTGCTGATAGTTCAATTGAAACAGTTCACTGAGCATCTTATAAAACAACTTCAACAACCAAGAAAGATAACTCAAATTTACACCCGGGAAAGCTGACTCCAAAAGGGAGGGAGGAAGAAAATGAGAAAATTGTTGAAAAGTAAAATTAAAATCTGACTGAAGAGAATATTTGCAACTCAGAGTTCAAATGAGGGGTCCTTGGTGTTCTGTGAGCTTGGTGATTTTCTTGAAGACGTTTCATTATCAAACTAGGTAACATCATCAATGCAATGTCTGGCTGGGATGAAAAGAGATAGGGAAAATTGGAACCAAGAGGAGTTGGTCTCTGCATAGTCATGGGGTTGCGTCTCATTCCCAAGCAACAGTCTGATGGTGTGGAATTTAATTGTTCTGCTATACATGTAGTCCTTGACTTACGATTGGTTGCTTAGTGACTGTTCAAAGTTACGACGGACTCCAAAAAGGAACTTCCATGGTCACATGTTGCATTTTGGCAACTGGCCTGCATTTACAGCTGTTTGCAGCATCCTATGGTCATGTGACTGTGATTTAGGATGTTTTTTTTTGCTAGAAACTGGTGTTTACTTCTGATTTCTGGCAAAAAAATCCCACCCATTGTGGAAAATGAGTTTGTTTGTTTGCAAAAAATGTCATAAAATTTGGCCTAAGTCAAGTACACTATTACTACCCGTGTGTCTCCCAAAATAAGATCGAGTCTTATATTAATTTTTGCTTCACAAGATGCATTAGGGCTTATTTTCTGGTTAAGTCTTATTTTTGGAGGAAATATGGTACTAAATGTATCCGTCTGGCTGACACTCTTAACTGGGGCTTATTTTGGGGATGGGCTTATATTACGAGTATCCTGAAAAATCACGCTAGGGCTTATTTTCGGGAAAACACGGTATATTATTACTACTGATTCAATTATATGATTCTTGGGGATTGCCCGGACAGGTTACTGCAGGTTTCTTGGCAAGGTTCAGAAATTATTTGCTGTTGGCTCCTTCCTAGGGTTGTGAGAAAGTGGCTGGCCATGGTCACCCAGCTGGCTTTGTAGAGTAATAGTGAGATGCAGTCAAGTCTTACTCCTGGAGAGTTATAACCAAACTTTAAAGCTGAACACGAGACTATGTATTTATCCTGGACAGAGGACAATTGTTGATTACAACTTTATTTCAATCAATGGAGGTCTTTTATAAAGGCAATGCATAATGCAAACAGCCCAGGAAGTGAGACGCCCTGAGTTCTACTCCCACCTGAGGGACAATGGCAGCTGGGTGATCATGGCCGGTCGTTTTCTCTTAGCCCTAGGAAGAAGGCAATGGCAAATCACTTCTGAATTCTTGCTGGACTTTGTCTAGGCCAGGGGTAGGCAACCTTGGCTCGTTTATGACTCATGGACTTCAACTCCCAGAATTCCTGAGCCAGTCCATGAGTCATAAAAGAGCCAAGGTTGCCTATCCCTGGTCTAGGCAATCTCCAAGAATCAGACACAATTGAATGGAAATTAAAAAAAGAAAAGAAACAGGTCCATCATTGTCCCGCCTTCTGCAACCTGGTATCTTCCAGGTGTGTTGGAACTGTGAGTCCCTGAATCCATAACCAGGAAATCTCTGGAGGGTGCCCAGGTGTGAGGAAGCTGAACTGAAGTGTGTGATCAACCCATGAAATTCTCATGCTTCAGGACACAGAAATGATTCTTCATGCAAATGCTTCCAAATATGACGACTGTGGGGATAAAGTATACCTTTCTTTGCACCTGAAAATCAAGGGAAGTTATAGTTCTGCTGTTTGTTATATTGATTAGACCAGGGGTTTCGTGCTGGCTGGGGAAATTTGGGAGTTGAAGTCCACAAGTCTTAAAAGTTGCCAAGTTTGGAGAGCCCTGGATTAGACCAGACCTTAACTACCACGTCCAATTCTGGACTCCACAATACAAAAAAAAAGATACCAAGGCACTGAAAAGAATACAGAACAGAGAGACTTGAAGGCTAAATTATATGAAGAATAGTTAAAGAAACTAGTTATGTTTAGCCTATAGAAGAGAAGGCTGGGGTGGGGGGACTTGGTAGGAGTCTTCCAGTACTTGAAGGACTGCCTCAGGGCAAAGAGGGTAGATTTGTTCTCCCCAGTTTCCCAGGATAGGTCAAGAACTGGTAAGTGGAAACTTTACAGAACAAGATCCAAAAAGAGGAATTTCCCGACCGTAAGAACAATCCACATTAGAACAGCATGCTTCCTGGAGTTGTGGCTGCTCCATCCCTGGAGGTTTCCAAGAAAAGGTGGACAACAAATAGTCTGTTATGCTCTGAGAATTCCTGTTCCGGGGTTGGACTGGGAAGGACATCTGCCTTTGCATTCTGCTCAAGAAACAGCTGCTCTACTCAAGCTGCTGAACAAGATGGACCTTTATTTACAATTTTCGGAACGGTTTTCCAACTGGGCTCCATGGCTATCAACAGGTTCTGGGAAGGAAAAGTCCATCCAGCAATGTGGGAGGCAATAGCAAGAATGAAAAGCTAGACCGTCATAAATATGAACCAGTTGCCAAGCAGCCGAATGTTGATCACGTGACCACAAGGATGCTGCAACGGTCATAAGTGTGAAAAACGGTCATAAGTTAGTGCCGTTGTAACTTTGAACGGTCACTAAACGAACTGTTGCAAGTTGAAGCCTACCTTATTTAATTTCCTAGTTATTCTTATGCCCTATTATGCTCCTAAGCACTGGGTTCTCATAAGAGGAAAGCAAGTAGCGTACACTTGGAGTCACCACACACACATTAGTCTGGAATAAATTGGGCTTGACAGACATTGCTTCTTGTGTTGTGGGACTGTAGTTGAATTAGGACAACACTGAAGAGCTCCTTTCATTGCACAAGGTGGCAGCTTAAGGATTTAAACAGGTTGGGGTTTTTAAAAAAAAAATAGAGGTGGGAGAATCACAAACAGCTCGGGGCTTCTAGTTGGCCAGTTATAACAGCCATCAGGGTGAAAAGCGAGGTGGGAGATCTGAACAGCATTATTTATTTGGAAGAATAATCTGCCCTTTATTTTTAAGGATATTGCATTTTCCTAGTTGGAAGCAAAATCGTTATATTTCTCAGAAGAACAGAAATGGATGCCTCCAGGGCATTTTCAGGTTTCCCAGGCGTTTTATGCACGTTCAGCTTTCATCATAACTCTTGCAAAGAGTTGTATTGCTATTCATTTTAGTTAGTGTATTGCTGTTACGGGCAGAGCAGCACAATCAAAAGTGTCAGGAGCAAGGCTCAAAAGTCTTGTTAGACATGAACTAACACCGGCTTTGAGGTGTCAATTCTCATCATCCCTCACCAGGACAGCCCTTTGCTAGTGCTTCGCCTGCTTATAACACATGGGTTTCTCAAGCGGAATAAAGCTGGCAAGGACGTGCTGTGGACATGGGTGTACGTGGAGGACAACAAGGTTAAGAGGGTGGCTGGGTGCGTGCAACTGAGGCCGCCCTCTTGACCTTTTGGATCCCCAGCTACTCTAATAGGGATTGTGGCTTCCCCTCACCCGATTTCTCCAACAGAAGACCATGTTGCTAGCAGAAAACCACCAGTGAGTCCAAAATTTGTGTTTGATTTGGCTACATATGGAGCGGTGGGATTCAGCCGGTTCGCACCGGTTCGGTAGAACCAGTAGCTAATTTTTGTTCGGAGAACTGGCTGAAGGCACACTGCTTCAAGGAGTCCATTCTAGGCCTCGGAGGCCTGGAGGAGGCCTCCCCAGCCTAGAACGGCCTGCTGGAAGCGCGTGGATGCCACTTCCAGAAGTCCTGCATCCAATAAGAGAACCGGTTGTTCAGATATTTGAATCCCACCGCTGTACACATGTTTACATTTACATCTTTGTGTTTTTCTAAACCCTATTTTATTTTTATTTCATTTTTCTCACTCTGCGTTGTCGTTCAGAATGGTTAAGGACCAAAATAAATAGTCTGACTTTGACTCCAGAGAGTCAAAGATCAGGCAGTTCTGATGTCCAGGGCCTGCGTCAAGGTATTCTTCTTTCCCCTTTCTCTTCAGGAGAAAATGGCGAGACCTCCCGGTGTAAATCTTCTGATTCCAGCGGTGAAGAGGAAGCAAGCACGGGCCAAAAGAAGCCTCGTAGGCAGAGGACCCATTTCACCAGCCAGCAGCTGCAGGAGCTGGAGGCTACTTTCCAGAGAAATCGCTACCCGGACATGAGCACAAGGGAAGAGATAGCAGGCTGGACCAACCTGACGGAGCCGAGGATAAGGGTGAGGATCCCCCATAGGAAGAGGAGATGGGGTGAACAAGGGATACGGTTCCTCAAATTAGCTCAGCCACACTAGTGATAATGATGTGCCATGCAGTGGCTGTGCAGATCTGGAGATTGCGGAAACAAAACAACCACTTCATAAACGCATGGCACAACATAGGAGAACAAACCCATCAGGACTAGATTCAGCAGTCCATCTGCATTTAAAAGACAAAGACAGCAAAGTCCACATTTTGGACAGAGAGGACTGCTGGTTTGAAAGAGGGGTCAAAGAGGCCATCTAGGTCAAGAGTGAATAGCCCAATCTCAACAGAGGGGGGAGGGATCCAACATCATCTCTCTCCAGTCTATAACACAGTCCTTTCAGCAGTCCCAAGAAGGCTCCACAGCCATTTGCACCACTCAGGTGACCCTGAGGACACAGGTAAACCTCCAGGTGGTCTCAAAAACTCTCTAAAAGAATGCAAATATCCAGCTGTCTGCAAGGAGTATAAACCCTTCCATTCCCCACCATCCAGTCAGAGCTGAAGACGCTTCTTGGATGAGAAGTGTTTTCAAAGAAAACCAAGAAAGTCCAGTTGCCTCTTGAAAAAAACACCTTTGGGATGTTCTATGGAGTTAATTTCTTGGTCTGGTCTACCTAGTAGGTTTGAAACTTTCTCACACTTCTGCTCTGAGACACCTCTTTCGCAGTGCAATTTTTTCTTCCTCTGCTTTTCCAAGGTCTGTTACACATTCCAAACACAGTTGTGTTAAGTCTACACTCTGGTTGGAAATTAAGGGGAGGGGGCATTTAGCGACAGTGCATCTGGAAGACAGCAGAAAGGGAAAGATGGGAATGAAAACTTGTGTAAATCATAGCAAAATGATGGGGTGATATGTCTGAGTTGAGGTTTGCAGGCTGGCTTAAGTAATGTTGCTGCAACACTCTGAGTTTCTTTTCTGTTAAAACACAGAATCCTATGATTGTTCACGCATTCCTCTATGAAAGCATGGAGAATGGTACAAACTGAAAGCATTCATAGATGCATTTTGCAAATGTAAGTAAATTTATGTGTCCCAGGATAGTGTTGCAGGATCCAATCTGAGTCAGATTTATTCTTCCAACCCTTCAGATTCCTGTTGGAGCCCATCCTCAGGGTACTTCTCTCTCTAGAATGTGAGCACTAGGCTGTTCTACATGTTGTATTTCTACGGTGCCTGGTGGTGTGGGCTTTTAGTTGTTAATTACGGTGTTGATGGCCAGCTATTAAGTCATTAATTCTTAAGTCTCTATCATGGTTCAGTCCAAGCTGGGAATAAACAACATGGTGATTGCTTTAGAAAGAAAGTTGCAGTTTATTGAAGAGGAGAGCCAGACAGAAAGATGGCTCTGGAAGAAAAAAAAAGTGAGCACATGTAGGGAGTGGGTTTTTATACCCTCTGGAGCCTTTTGTTTGGAGTTGTTCCTGTGGCATGAACTTTGACCTGAGTCTGAGTGTGCCTTTCTGGTATTCTAATGGTGGTGGGTTAATCCTATGTGTCCCAAGGGTCATATCCTGCTTCCCTGGAGCTGTGGCTGATGACTCTTAGATTTTTGGTGTTGGTTCTAGGGATCTTTCTTCCTAATCCCAGTTTCCTGACTCCAATCTTTCTGACAAGATTATCTGTATTTCTATAGAGCTGGTTTCTGCTTGGGAGAGGGAGACTTGGGGCTATTAAGAAAAAAACTGGGCATGCTTTTCTGCCTCTTTAAGATCCTTTGAGGAAATACATTTTTCTGCCCTTTTAATATTTCCTTCTCTGGGGGCTGACTTCCCACAGCAGTTTCCCAGCGACCAAGACCAGTAGCTCTTGAAAGTCTTCCGTGAATAGTTCTTGTTCTCTTTTAAAAGAGGTCCAGAACAATACATGGAGGACCATCACTGTCGCGTGGCAACAGTTTAACCCAACTAGTTTTGGAATTGTTCCTCAACCTTGCCTAAGTGAGTACTTTTTTGTCTCCCGACCTGTTTCTTTTCTTTCCAGGTGTGGTTCAAGAACCGAAGAGCCAAGTGGCGGAAAAAGGAACGTCACCAGCAGCAGACAGATCTTTGCAAAGGAGCCTTTGGATCCCAGCTTAATGGTTTGACCGGAAACCCTTATGACGACCTTTACCCCACCTACGCCTATAACACCTGGACTCCCAAGGGGCTACACAGCAGCCCGATCCATGGCAAAGGCTTCCAGCTCTTCAACTCCATTAACCTCAATTCTTTTGCACCCCAGAATGTGTTCCCGGCAGCTGCAGGAGCTTCTCTATCTGGAGTCCCATCTCTGGAAAACTTCAACAGCCTGGCAAGTCCTCCTGGGCACTCGGGTTCAATGTACGCGCCTGGCGCCCCTTCGCCCTACATGTACAGGGACCCCTGCAACCCAAGCCTGGCTGGACTGAGACTCAGAGCAAAACAGCCCCAATCTGCTCTCAATTATGGCGCTCCACAAAACACGGGCATCGGCCCCGGCTCCAGCCAGTATCATCTGGACAGGCCAGTCTGACCCTCGGCTGTAGGTCAAAAGATGGTCAGAATTTGTACCCCATTAAGAATCTTGCCAGTGGCCTCCATAAAAATAATAATAAAAAGCGCCTCTTCAAGTCCTGTGTGGGGGAAAATTAGGGTTCCCAAATAGTTTTGGTTGTTTTTTCCCCCCCTTTCTGAAGACCACGTCAGCTTCAAGTATTTTCTTAGCCCAGATCTTGCTTTGGTTGAAGGCTGTAAGCAGCCAACCATAGTCTAATTTCATCTGAATCATTCAGGCTCAGATACCCGAGATGGTTGGAATTAATTAACAAATAATCATCCTGGAAAGAGGAATTGGCAGGGCTGTTATCAGATGTTTGGAGCAGATAGAGAGGGAAAAAAACCTCACTGTTTTTAATCATCAAAGCAGAAGCTCTCAAAAAAAGGAGGAGGAACCCCCCCCCCACCAAACCTCCTCTCTACCAAGGCAGTTTTCTTCAACTTGGCCACCCCCAGGGGTGTTGGATTACAATTCCTTTCATCCTCAGCCAGCATGGCCATAACAGTCTAAGTTCAATTCAGGTAGTAAGCACCACACACAGGAAGGCTGAGCTGGAGAACACAGGCAGGTAACGAGGCAGGTAATTGGAGCCCTTTTCATCAAGGTCAACTTTAATCTCTACCCCACTTTCCCTATGAATTTCAGTTTCCCCTCCTGGATGCCCAGAAAATTCCAGGTCAGGGCCGTGAAAATGAACTAGATTCCCTGCTCTCTTCTTGGGTTGGCCCACTCCCCTAGATCACTGGACAGATCCTGTAATTAATTCAGCTTTACGAATGAGCGGTTCGCTTCCCCCTCCTTTTTCTAGGGGGCTGGAAACCAGTCCTAAGTCACATTTTCTAGTGCTGTTTCAACTTTGAACGGTCGCTAAATGAACTGTTGTAAGTCGAGGACTGCCTGTAATTTACCAGCTCCAGAGTCATTCTGAAATTGAGTTGCCTTTTGCCCTCTATTGCAAACAACGTAAAAAACAGCCAGAGCATTGCAGCCCATTTTCTCCTTTCTCTTCTGTGCTGGCTCAGGAATTCTGGGAGTTGAAGTCCACAAGTCATAAAAGAGCCAAGGTTGCCTACCCCTGTGTTAGGCGCATGAATTTCAGAACCTTCTCCTTCCGCGCAGATGAACGTGTCAGATGGTAGCCCTCTTTTTTTTTTTTAATCCCCGTAATCCATCCTTCCCCTCCAGGTGCTCCCTATGCTAGATATCTTGGTCTGACACCCCGCCCCCCCCATCACGTCTAACTAGCCTCTCTACTAATTCTGCTGTCCTTCCAAATTAAGAACGTCCTTGAAAACTATCTGGAGACCTTTAATCATGTCCTTTTTGCCTTATCCATCTCGAAGTACCGTTGATAAATTTAGAACTAATAAAAGGAGATACTTCTTCACTCAGCGTGTTGCCTGAGAGTGGAATTCACAAGAGCAGGAAACAGCCTTTGCTTCCACTGAAGTTGAAACAAGCTCTACTCCAACTATAAGCCCATAGTTATTTTCCCTAAATGTTTACTACTATGTTTTAGGATTTGCATTACTTCACTCTCTGCCATCTACCTACCTACCTACCTACCTACCTACCTACATCTATCTATCTATCTATCTATCTATCTATCTATCTATCTATCTATCTATCTATCTATCTATCTATCTATCTATCTATCTATCTATCTATCTATCTATCTATCTATCACCTATCATCTGCAGTATCATCTATCATCTATTATAATATTTTAACTACGGTATATAATATTTTTACTGTAACCAGAGCCATTTAGGGTCACAGATACGAGATTTTTTTTAAAAAAATAATAAAATGTGCCTGCAGACATTTGGAATTTTCCACGGTGAATCAACAGGGGGAGACAGGGATGTTTTATTTTTGATTGGAATCTCCTCCCCAGCGGTCCCTTTAAGGAGAGGAGAGCAAACAGCCATTCTTATTGTGTGTCTCTGGGGAGAAAAAAGTTGAGAATTACAAGATTTGGGCTGGGAAATTGGTCCAGAGGAGGAGCGTTAGGAGGAGTGAACATTCCTGCTCATTGTATCTCACTTTTAAATGCCCTCAAATATAGACCCACCATATAGATATATGGTTGCCAACACAACGTAGTCTTGCAGAAAGATCCATGTACCTCAGGGGTCTCCAGATCCATGTACCTCAGGGGTCTCCAGACATGGAAACTTTAAAACTTTTGGACTTCAACTCCCAGAATTCCCCAGCCAGCAGGAGTTGAAGTCCACAAGTCTTAAAGTTGCCAAGTTTGGAGATCCCCTATATAGCTGAACAAATTAATGGGGAAGGAAGACGAAGAAGAAGTTCCAAATTTGACTTTTCTGAGTATAAGACTATGACTACTTTGGATATGGTTTTGGTTGTTAAGTTTTCTAGGTCAACGACATTTGTTGTAATATTACAGTGCAGCAAAGGGTCTTGGTTCTTCTGGCATACTGGTTACTGTTGAATTGAGGCCTTTTGGTTACATCTAAAAATATATCTGCTGTAAACAAGTCATCAGCCTCCTGGAACAGAGTCTCTGACAGAATGTTAGGAGTGTATTTCAGTCCCACTACAAAGGAAGTGATGGTACCGTGGAACACACACAAACAGACCTTGCCCTCCTCCATCCACTTGGAAGAGGTCAGTGTGACATGTCCTCAAAGAACTCTGCTTCATTAAGATTCCTGTCTCCTCCATGCTTGGTTGCCCAACTGGGATAATCAAACATAGCATCTGAGCAAGTACACAGAGGATCAGGTAACCTGTGGCTTGCAGAGTCAGGCCACAGCCCTGGATGGACACACTTTTAAGTTCATTAGTGGGTTTTCTCAGAAGATTCAGTTATTTTCTATTTACAACATTTGCAACCTGCTTTTTCATTTTTTTTTCCAGAACAGAACAGAATAGCTTTATTGGCCAAGTGTAACTGGAAGTTCAGCTAAAAATGAATGAAAAGCTTGTCATGAACATGGATAATTAAACATCAAAAAGCAAAGACAGAGCAACAGCGGGACTAGTTAACTAGAGGTGTAGATAAACAGATACAGCCTAGTGGAACACTTAAATGCTTCTGTAAGTGGAGAATTATTATTAGGAATATGCTCTATCAGGTCACAACTTAGCAAATTTGGGTGACCACCTGGCTGATCGTGTGGTACTCTCCAGAAAGCATCCCCATGAGAACTGATGGGGATCTGGTATAGAAGGATCTCTTGGTAAACAGGATCAAAGCTGCTGATTGAGTGGCTAGGTGGTTCTGCCCAATCCTTACAAGGAAAGAAATATGTACATGAAGAGCGCAAATCACAGCGATGGACACTTAATTCATTAAGCGAAAGCAAAGCAGGGCTGGGAAGAATCAAGAGGAGAACGCTCCTATTTTCAAGCTGGAGAAGGAGATTTCAGCTCGGATGGAATATTGCATTCAGTTTTGGTCACAATATAAAAAAACATGTTAAGTGAGAAGTCCTTGCTGCTCTCTAAGCTTGGTGGTTGTTGTTGTTTTGCAAACATTTCATTACCAAACTAGGCAACATCATCAATTCATCTAGAAAGAATGCAGAGAAGAGCAACAAAGATGATTGGGGAACTGGAGGCTATATACAATGAATGCGTTTGTAGGAATTGGTGGGTAATGAAAAGAACTAGGGGTGACATGATAGCAGTGTTCCTTCCAATATTTGAGGGGCTGTCACAAAGAATCAGAATATAGGTGGAAGGGACCTTGGAGGTCTTCTAGTCCAGCCCCCCACTCAAGCAGGAGAACCTGTACCATCTCAGACAAGTGACTGTCTAGTCTCTTCTTAAAAGCCTCCAGTGATGGAGTGCCCATGATTTCTGAAGCTGTTCCACTGGTTAATTGTCCTCACTGTAAGGAAGTTTCTCCTTAATTCCAGGTTGCTTCTCTCCTTGATGAGTTTCCATCCATTGTTTCTTGTCCTGCCTTCTGGTGCTTTGGAAAATAAGTTGACCCCTTTCTTCTTTGGTTATGTAGAAGAGGGGGTGAACCTTTTTCTCCAAAGCATCCAAAAGCAGACAAGAAGTAACGGGTGGGAACCAATCAAGGAGAGATCCATCCTAGAAATAAGGAGACATTTTCTGTTATTCTTTTGATTGGTTTGCTGAACGATTCCCCTTCTCTCCCCGAGGAGGATGCCTGGGTGAGGTGCTTGGCTGCAGGTAGCCCCCATGTCACACTTTGTGCCGCAGAGGCAACCCGATTCATTATCATTATTCATTTAGTGAGAACAATTCACCAGTGGAACGACTTGCCTCCAGAAGTTGTGGGTGCCCCATCACTGGAGGCTTTTAAGAAGAGGCCGGACAGCCACTGGTCTGAAAGGATATAGTTTTTTTCCTGCCTGAGCAGGAGGTTGGACTAGAAGACCTCCAAGGTCCCTTCCAACTCTGTTGCTTTGTGATCACCGCTACCGCTGCTGTCCCTCCCTTTCAGAGGGGGGAAAAAGCGGAGCCGTCGAAAAGAACCCGCACGTCCGGGGCGCACGCAAAAGCACGTCCCCTCTAGGATCTGTCCCTCACGCTCCCGCTTCCGGGCGCCCGGAAAGAGAGGAAGGACTTCCGGAGCTGACCCGGAACCGGAAGATCCGAAACGTTCCTGCTTCCTCCCTGTGCGTGCGGGAAGCGTTGCTCGGGAAGGGGGATCCGGGCCGCCCGGAGAAGGCGAAGGAGCGACCGCGGAGAAGCGCCGGCCGAGCCGGGGAGGCCCCCGCGCAGCCGCCATGGCGGACGTGACCGCCCGGAGCCTGCAGTACGAGTACAAGGCGGTGAGTGCGGGGCCGGCTGCGGGGCTCCTCGGGCCGGGCGGGCAGGCGGCGAAACCCGCCGGGGTGGCAGTCCCGCTTCCACGGGCGGAGGAGGCCGCCTCTCCCGGGCTGGGTCTCCTCCTGGGCCCCGCCAGGGTGACGAGGGAGCCGGCCGAGCCCAGCGCGGGGCAGGGAAGGCGGAGAAGGGAGGGCAAGGCTGGGGGTAACGCTCAGGCTCATTTCAGGGCAGCCTGGAAGTCGGGACCCGGATTCCCTAGGCTTGGCAGGTAGTCCT